GAAAACTATGAATATTGCAAGTTAAGTCAATGTTCTTGGAAGTTCATTGAACAATACTTATACAAACTGAATAGACCAGAATCACAGCAATTTACTACGGTAAATATATTTATACAAAATTTTGAAATTGTATGCCAAAACAAAGAAAATAGTTCGTCCATTATTAATTAATAGAGTAAATGATTAAAAGTCTTTATTAGCATATCATTATTATCTGGTTTAATATTATTTTTTTCATAAAGCTATCCATATGATACTGGAAATGAGCTCCTCTTTTGTATTAAGTATAATTGAATTTTATTTAATTGTTAACTACATTTTTAGTGAAGAAATACAGTTGCAATAAATATTATAACAATTAATTCAGAAATCACGTATTGAATAAGTTTTTGTTAAATTACTTTTCTCCTAATCTAATCATTTTTTTGTGTTTCGTCTTTGTATACGATTGCTTATGTTAGTTTAAATTATTTTCTAACTTTTGAGTTTATATATTGTATAACACACATATTGTAATGAAAATTATTGCCAATTGCACGCGATACTGTAATTGTGACGTTTACTAATTAAAAAAATAAATTAATAAACTTTGAATTATTGATGTTCATTGTTATTTTTATTGACGTTATCTATGAAATCATTCATCATCATGTTATGTGATTAAGATGATGTTAAAACATCTACTTTTTAGTAATTAAGATTGATAAAAACATGTAAATGTACTCTATGTACTGTAACAGATCAATTCAACAAATCAATAAGAAGTTTATGGGAGTATCGAAAGGATCAAGTTTTTTTTTTATCGACAGAACCAGTCTGTCAACGTAATTATTATTGTATCAAACATAATCAAGTGATAGTACATGTATACTACTATTCTATCATCATTGAAATTTAAATCAGCTAGATGGATAAACATATTTTAAATTTCTCTCAGCATCAACGACTTTAACTTGTTGATCTTTTTAAGTATGGAATGATACGTTTTTATTAACATTGTGAGCTGACGTATATAATTCCTGTATTACTTGCCCCTTTAGGAACATATCTAAAACACTCCTATATAACAGAAAAGTATGTATTATTAATTATCAAGTATTTTTAAAATATATGATTGATTTACTAATAGCTATGATTGTTATATAAAATTACCGGCAAAGTAATTGAGAAGTGGCACTTATCACTCCAATAAGCATATTTTTTGTATTTACACTCATTTCAGTGATGGCACTATAGTCATCAATATGTTGATGGTAGGTGGAAATGATATAACCTGATAAGACGAATCTAATAAACATGGATAGAGTGGTTTTCCTTCTATGAGATATAAATATTTGTGAATTCCAAAATAAACATTGTTAATGTTTAAATAATTCTACTGCTGTAAAACCATTATTTCTGCCCAAAGGTTTCATTTTTATTTCATTAGGAGATTTTGTCGTATAAGTCAATTCACTTGAAAGATATCATATGATTTTAATTCTCCCTTTGAATGATTGATTGTAATAATAACAATTGAATTTATAAGAATACTTATAACTTAGATTTTAAGTAAGGAAAATAAATATACTATTACATTTACAACCTTAAACAGATAGGTTACAACCACCACCAAGTCCAACGCACATGTACGTGCAGCGGGCGGAAGCTAGTGCGCACGCGCTTGGACTTAGTATCTAGCAATTTAGTCTTATAATTTTAAGTATAATCAAATTGATTCCCTGACAACCCAGGGATCTTTTTAATAGAAATTAACCATGCCATTAAGGTAGAATTTATTGTTTTCATAAAATTTTTACACAATTCGTAGTTTTCAAATAAAATAGGATTAAGGTTGCCAAGCGGCAAGGTCACCCGTCACCGCTAGCGCGGCGGGATGGACGGGGGCCTTGAGGCCGGCAGAGTGGGGCGCACGGCTAACAATACCTTCTCGCGTTTATGCTCTCCTAATACCTCACGAAGAGGAGAGCGACTTTAATTATTAATCAAATCCATAAATATTAAATATTTACCTGCCGATTTTCGGCAGGTATGTTCCTCATAAGCGTCCCTATTACATAGGACCCCAAAAATCCCCTAAATTTTACATTTTTTTATTTTCACATAGGAACACGTAAATGAAGTGTGTGTGTGTCAACACACACACACGTCCACCAACTGGTGCGCGTCCCCACGCAGCGTCAGGCAAAAGTTTAAACAAAGCAAGATGTGGATTTATTAACCGGACGTTCCCAAGACTATATTCTAAGTAATTAGTGATGAGCAGTATTAATGTAACAATATAATATTTTGTTACAAATAATTAAAAACGCGAAGAACCGCGTTATTTTCGGCGTTAAAAATGCTAATAGTTAAGAAACCTCATAAAATAAGTCAGGTAGCCGCGGCAGCACACCTGTATCTGCACCACAGCTCCTGAAAATTCATGAAAACCTGAAAATAATGTATCACAAAGAAAACAAGTTGATCTTCAAGAAAAATATCAAATGTACGAGAAGAAAGCCGACGTCAGCGATAAGGCCCAGAAGGCTCGACGTTGTCAAATCTGCCCGAAAAGTCCTGACGTTGCACCTGTATCACCATGGATACAGCAACGTCGAGCACGGAGCTCCCGAGCCGCCGTCGTCGCAAATCTCAAAGAGTGAACTTGTCACTCCTTGTGAGGTATATAAATTCATTATAATTAATAACACCCTCAAAACTATCTGTCAGTCTTTTTTCTTTACTACTCCCTATGCTCTACCTCCTCTACACCCACATGACTGAGGCGCAGTTTGTATAACGCGTGCAGTCATTCCTACATTCCTACACGCTATGTTTCTGAGTTTGTCGTTCTGAGGCGCAGTTTTGTATAACGCGTGCAAACAACATTCCAGAGCGGAGACGTTCCTTTTTCCCCATTTTCCAAGACTCGATTTGTTTGAATTTATGTACTTCATAAGTACGCGAATTTTTACCTTTCGACGTTTCTCTAGAATAGTTCGAGCGAACGCTATGTGTAGTTGGATCTCAAGTGAACCCTCAGTTTGGATATTTTTGGATTACTGTTGTGAAATTTTAAGTTAAAGTGAACTGTGAGAACCATGCGTGCAGGCCCTCATGGGTAAATCCAAAAGACGAGGCATCAGAGTGGGCTGGAGGGTGCAGATGAGGAGGATCATCAAGGACCACCACAGGGGACGCGCCCATCTATCCTCGATTTTCCAGGAGGAGCCACCAAAGCCCACTTTACCCACCGGCAGAGGAATCACCATCCTGAGTGACGAGGTTTTGCTGGATTTTAAAGTGATTTTGGTGATCCCTAAAAACTTCCAATAACTACCCAGCCATTAATCCCCAGTGACATTTTTGCGGGGTGGACCGACTAATTTAGTGGACCTTTTCCTTTTGGAGTTTTTTTTGTTGTTTGTGTGTGCATCATTTTCTAAATCATGAGCAATCCAGCAGCTCCAACGGTGAGTATTTAATTTCTTTTTCTTTTCTTTTCGTTTTTTCTTTCCTTTTTTTTTATTTATTATATTTTTCTTTCGTTTATCTATTCATCTAATATTCCACACGTCGGGTAAATTTTTCGGTTTCCCCTATTTAAATTTTCGCGGTTCTCAACGCGTTAAGGTGAGAGCGCTGTATTATCGGCAGCTTCACAACCGTTAAGCGTGTTTACATGGGAATTAATTTGATAAACTGACTCCCTGTTTACCTATCGTTTGTAAAAGCTCCCTAAACTTGGAAATGTCATTTAATTTCAGATAATTAGTCAGGACGTAACAGTAGTTGAATAAATTTTTTAAAAGTATACTAAATATATTTTCATCAAATAATCAATTTTTCACAATACAGCATACAATAAAAGGATGTACGTTTTTTACATTATTCAGTAATTCAATAACCATTACACTATCGTCTGCTTGTAGTATTTTCAATTAATGTGCTCCATTATTTATAACATCATTATCTTCAGATTGCGATTTACGGTACTCGAGATAAGTAAGAAATATAATACATTTACTTAATTTTAATAAAACAACATCTTTGTTATTTGAACAACATATCTTCAAATAAATTCTTCAGGAAAATATTATTAGAAATGTATGTATCTAACAAAATTATCTTGTCATTTAACAATATTTGCTAAGAGTAATTCAAAATTAAAACGACTACACACATTATTAATTTACTAATTAAAAAAAACTCAAAAAAAAAATGTAGTGATATTAACTTAGCAATTTTCTTTTATAGATTCTGCGCGAATGTTGGTAGAGCACATAAAAGCAATCACATTTTCTACGTTGTAGATTTACAGGGAAAATGTACTTATCGAAAATGTCATGACCAAGAAGATTGTGGTAACTTTGAATCAAACCCAATACCATTACCTCTTGAAATATGTTTCTTATTAGATGAAGAAGATGATGACATATTTCTAAATGTACCCGATTCTGACGATTCTATTTAAATAATTTCCAAAGAATATTTGTTATTAATCTTGTAATTACTTCAGGTTAGATATTTTCATACGATTGTACATAAGAAGAATATATTCATTATTGTAAAAATTGATATTCTCTGTAAGAAACGAAATTTGCATGAAGAAAAATTTGTAATGTTTTGATAAACATTTTCTATAATTATTGTTACTATTTACAACTAAGCATGATATTTATCAAAGGTTTCATTAAACAATATAGTTTATTATCATACATTCATTGTTATTCATTGATTTGCCCTATTACCTTAACATCTTACACTATCAACTCAATTACTTTATTGGACTATACTTAAATAATTACGTACACAAATGATAGAAATATAAATATAATTAAAACATTGCGATTTAGTTAAAATTAAAATTTACAATCAATCTAAACTTCAGCTTTAGAAGTTTCGAACTCATTCAACGATTCATATTCATGATATTCATCTAATCCCATTACTTTAACTTCAAAAGTAACGATAAAAATTGACTAAACTTCACAGACAATCGATTGCAACGGGATCATTGTAAATGATGTATAAAATACAGATATAGAATATAAAATAACATGATTTCACAATTGAATTTTGCACGTGGAATAAATTTCAAAATTTTTTTTGCCAACCATATTGCAATAATGGTTGCACTGTTCAGAACTTAATTCTATGTCACTTTCTAGTACCTGTTCACTATCTTCTTCACTATCTAAAGTTGTTTCTGTTGATGTGCTATCACCACTATCCATTTCATTGATATCTATTTTTGAATCATCATTTTTAACATTTTCTGGAGGTGTATCAATATTCTTACTTTCAAACGTCTCCTCAGATTCATATATTGGATCTGATGCATTTTGTATCTGAACATAAGTTTTATATTCTTTTGCAGCTTGTCTCATTCGGCACAAAAAATCTGGCAGTTCTAGTTTCGAATAATCATAATGAATTAATAAAAGAAAAATTTACGTAAAACTTTTGTCATTTTTATTTTATTCTCACCACTCGCAGCAACCCATGTAGTCACAGCTGCTGGAATATTAATTCCAGGATCTTCAATATAATCACGATTGGAGAATAACCTTTAAAAAATACTTTTTCATTGTAAACATGACTTCTGCAATCGCTAAAAAATTATTTGAAAAAAATAAAACATACCGGTCATATCATTTTCCAATAAATAACATCATTATGATAATCTTTGGCAGAAGCACATTTAGGGTGAGTGTCAATTATCTCAAGTTCTCTAGCAGTTGGATCCCAAACTTTCCTATGGTCTATATCCACTTGAACTTGGAGAAATTCTTCAGCAGAAACATCAGAGTATGTTCCAAAACCTTTGTAAGCATACAATCCAGTTTCTTTATCTTCCTTTCTCCATATTAACATATCTTGATGTTCGATAAATGATTTACAATCAAATGGATTGCAATCTTTACAAACGACAGCTCTTTGGCGTGGCTAGAAAAAATATTTTTTGTGAATGAAGGGTAATAATAGAAGTAAATAGGCTAGGAGTACGTAATAGATCAAAATCATTTTCAAAAAATAAAAATTAATTACCTGTCGAAATGACTTGCATAATTTGTGCTTCAGAATGCATACATCAACAATCTTTACAAAATGCGTGCCCACACGTTCAAGTAGTAAATTTCTCAGCAATGTGAAAAGTCACACTAATAATTTATTGTTTATTTTTTTGTGTCTTGATTGCTGATGCAGGATCAGGTGGATAAGACGTCTTTTTTTGGAATTAATTAATGAACTTAAAGCATTATTACGATATTTATTAATGACATCTTGTAGAGCCTAGTTGTGTTTATGAAGTAAAACTTTAGCTAAAGATGGTGTTATATAAAGACTTACTTGACACTTCCACGTTTTCGTTTAGAAGTTTTTCAACTTCTTTAACTCTTTTTTTATAGTTAAATATAATGAATTAAACTAAAGGCTCGTCTAGATCCATTTCTTTAACGGTGATATATAGACCTTCTTGTTCATACGTGGATTCATGTTTTGCCAAAACTTTCTAAAAAGAACAAGGTTTTATGCACCACTGGTAAGTTTGACTACGATATCTATGTAATAAAATTAATATTAATATTATTTTTTTATTGAAATATTTATTTAATCAATTTTGCTTGATAAATTGAAAGACTCACTCAAAATCTGTCTATCGGTATTGACGTTTTATAATACCCAACATTACTGCTGAAGTGTAGTCAGCAGCTATGACTTGACCTTCGGCATTTGTACATTTTTTGAATTCAGTACTGAACCATTTAACAGCACCCATTTTTTTTCCAAGTTACGATCAAATGGAGCTGGTGAACCACCTTGTTGCATGTGACCTGAAATATAAAAAAATAAAACGTCTCTAATTCTCTATTCGTTTTTATTTAAGCTGAATAATATTAAAGCTTGGTGATATTATCTTACCAATAATATTTGATCGACAACTAAATAAACCTTTTCCCTCTTCACTGAAGAGCCTTTGCATAAAATCTGTGTTATAATTGAGATTAGAATTTTCATTTCTCAAAATAAGACCTCTTTGAATCCCTTTAGACATTTTAGCAGTCATAGCAACAACATCTTGGTTTAAACCTTTGATGTTAAATTTCTCTTAAAATATCTAAGCTGCATCTGCACCATCCACAGGTCCAGCAAGTGTTGCTAAATATCCACAATAGCCGCTCATAGTTTCAAAAGATTTATTCACTTAGGTTTTTTTTCAAACAAATATAATGAGAAATATATTTTTCGAATAATATTTTTTCCGCAGGCAAATAAAAATACAATTATAATGAACTTCAAATGCGAAAGTAGATGATAATGTTACTTAATTTTTATATAGTTACTACAATAAAAATACATTGAAAAATTTATTAGTGTTTTATGATATATAAATAGTTTAAAATTTCAATACTGTTTATAATATAATTAAAAATAATTTCAAATAAAAATCTTTTTGCCATTAGCATAATCTTGTGTATATTATAAAGCAAATTTTACAAATGAAATAGTTTGAGTATTTTAAGTATAGTAAGAAATATGGATTGCCTCTTCTATGGTTAACAACGGTCTCCACTGGGTGAAAAATTATTAAAAGTTCGATTCATTTCGATTCTATGCTGTAATATGTTGGGAATTTGCTCTCCAGATATTTGTGGGAGTAAATCCAAGTTTATCTCCCGATTCTGCACTAAATCTATCGGTAGATTAACACGAGCAGAGTAGTGATTTTGAAAATCTGCATCAATAGAATCTTCAGGAAAATATATTTCCATTTCAGCTAAATTAGGTCCTCTATTCTCAAGATGCCGTCGTCGTCGATTGCGTCTTAATCTAGGTTGTCGGGGAGATGCATCCCAGTCAAAAAATTCGAATGGACTATTAGGATTAGTAGGCGATAGACGATTGGTACTACGAACTGGAATAGGAGGAAGATTAGAGGTGGTATGAGCGGCCTCTATCGTGTTTGATATTGACACAGCTGATACTAAACAGTTAGAAGAAGGTATGGATGAAGATAAAGGTAGAGAAGAGACTGGGTTGACATTCGAAGAAGTTTGACTAGAACGAGCTGTAGATTTTGATGGCGTTTCGCGTATACCAAGTGGAATTGCAAGCTTTAAAATCCAACGCCGTTCTCGACGTCGCGCATTACGTACAGGATTCTTACGTTTCGTACGTCGTTGTTTTGAATCTCCTTTAACCTTTATTAATACAAAACAATTATGTCTTATGTGTCATACATCAATATAGTATGGTCGTATTGCATGTGTATATGTGCGTAGCTACTATAACTCAGTACATTTTAAGTTGCTAATTTTTTAAACTTTTGAGCAGGCACATGAATGTAAGACTATTCAATGATAATTCACGATTAATTTTACCCTCAAACATCCAGAAAAGGTAATTAACTGATATTATGCCTTATTTAAATAAGGCAATAAAGTAAATAAATTTATGACAATAAATTTAAATTATTTATGGCAATACATTTATGACAAGCCGAATGGATTAATATTGAACTGTAATAAAAAATTCCATTAGACGTCATAAAAAGCAAACTTATTGAAATTTAACAATTTGAAGTTTAAAAATTAAAATTAATTAATTTAGAATGAAAAAATTTGTGTCTTGAAAATTTCTTTAAAAAATTAATAGAAGATAAGATGAATTTGTAACTTTTTAAAAATTCTATTTTAATGGTAAAATATCTTTTTAAACCAAAAAACATTAAAGTCTAAAATGGACAATAGATTAACCTAATTAGGCATGGTATTTAAAATCAATATTCGCCGAACTAAGACATATTTTGGCAATTTTTTCTGCGAAAATTAAAATTCTCTTGTTGAATGAACATAAAAAGTTCATAAAAAAGTACCATTCATTTGTCAATGTAGGTCATTTAAAAATAACAAAATTATCTATTGAATAGATGTTGTAGCATCCATTCTGAAGATAATACTTTTATTCAAAAAATATGACACGTCCATGATTAATTATAATTTAATCGAATACAAATTGAATAGTTATGCCACACTAAGAGATTTTTTTTCAATAATCATAAGTACAAAAAATAACACGTGCACGTTTTGAAATATCGAAGTGGAGTATTTCTGTTCAACAATTATTCAAAGTTTTCGTGCATAAACTTGTTTATTCGAGAGATATTGCAGTAAAAGAATAACCTACAAAAACTCAATATTTGATAGTACATAACCATATTTTTACTTTACTAATATTGTAGAACGGGCAATTATAATTTGTTATATTTGTAATATAAAAACAATTCCTTATGTATAAAACTATTGAATTGATCATCAAATAAATTGAAAAAAGATTAACGTTGTTATAATTGTTCAACTTTTTATGTTAAAAACGAAAATCATTAGAACTTAGTTTGTTTCAGCAATGAATAAATAAACATGTCATTGAAATAAAATTAATATTCTATTCTAGATCACTACGAAATTCAATTTAAAATATTTAATTTGACAGAAATAATTTCTCTTATAGTTTAAAATAAAAAATCAGGAGCTTATGAATATGTAGCTTTCAAAAAATAACTGCAACAACAAAAAATTTTGTTGCAATGAATCAAAAAAAATAATAAACTTTTAGTATAAATATTATTATTTAAAAAAAAAACAGTCTAGTTTTTGGGAAAATCCCGAATATTTGTTAAAAGAATTAAAAATAGTTTTATACCATGTTGACGAAAATAAAGAAATACCACGTGCAACGGATTATAGTCGATGTTTATAACATAGCATGCTGATATAATCAATTTTCAATTCTAAAAGAGGATGGAAAATTTTTATTTTCTTTCAAGAATACAACAATCATCACATGGAAAGTTGTACCTACTAGTATCTTATAAGTGAAGGGTAAGATAAGATATTAAGATATAAATATCAAAATTTTTTTGCATAAAATAACTAAAATTCTAATATATTATCTAATTGACAATTATCGAATATTGGTTGAAATTTTTTTTATTGTTCAAGCTTGAATTCGCACATATACACATGTTTTACAATGACATTAAGTTATATATAAGCATAAGAAAGAAATTCTCAATAAAAAGTTTTATAATTATTTATATCGGAATATTCAAATAATTATATATGTGACTTTTTGTCCATTGAAAAGAGAAAATTCGACTTCGAATAGAATAGAATAAATTCAGTCTTTACGTATTCACTATCGCCACGTGCCAATGTCATTTCATAAGAAACACATACTCTTTCAAATGAATGAAATATTCTTTGAAAATTTTATTCGACTCTTAAAATAAATATTCTATCGCACTGACTGTCAGTATTTGTTATTGGACATAACATATAAATTATTAATTAGTGTTTCTTACCTTCATTGTCACACTTCGAAGCATCAAATAACTATCGGGAAGTCACTTAATATAGATTTTATCATTAGTTTTTCACGGGCAAAGAACACTTGCTCGTTTCCTCACAACTTACGAATTAACAAGATTATCACAATACTTTGAAAGTCGTTCAATTTTACCATTAAAGAGTAATCATAAGTTACAATGATATCCAAAAATTCTAATTATTAATTAAAATAATTATTTTTCACGATGAACTATGTATATAATAAAAAAAGAATTAATCGTTAGAAGTGAACACAATTTGTCACACACTAACGCTGCTTTGTCCGATCTTTCTCTAATACTGCGTTGTTAAACGTAAACAAATTGTCAACACTCAGTCGAATCTATGGTAGGATCACGTGATTTCAATAACGTTTGAAGAGTGGGGGCAATGCTTATCTTACTTCAACTAGTAGCACGTTATTTCCTGAGGCTGAAGAGAAAATAGGTAACGCCCTATTCAATGAAAATTCAATTGGTTTTCTGAAGTATAACTGCTCATATGATTAAGAATAATTGTTTGGTAATCCTGGACATACTTTCTGAAATCATAATCCTGTAACTGCAACGACATGAATATACTTTGTATTACACTATTTAAAATAAGTATAAATCTTCAAGAAGAATAGTGATAAATTTATCAGAAATATAATGTACCTACTTACTAATGTGACTACTAGCTGTCTAATATTTTGAGAACCACGTTTTGCTTTCCTCTTACCCCCGGATGACTTGACAAAGAGGGGGAACGGCATTGCTTTATGGTGTTTTCGGATGTTTGCACCGAAGCAGTGCCAGTGTACAGTGCGAAACCGAACACTCACGGACTTATCCAAATCATACCGAATACTTGCATGTTTGTATTTCGAAGTTAATGTCACATAACCAAAAAAAGTTTTAGTTGTGATAATAAATATTAGTTTAGATTGTGATACTATCAATTGAAATGATAAACGATAGACTAGAATTTTTTCGTTAATTAATAAATAATTGCACAAACTTACTTATCAATAATAACCTGAAACTTGAGGTTATGTATGAAGAAACGATTAGAATGAACATTTAAATGTTCATTCTAATCGGATGAATTCTATCGAAGGCACGGCTTCGGTGCAAGCATCCGAAAACGACATTAGACACTCATAACGGAGATTCTCATCATTTTTCTAGTGGTGACAAGTGCAATTGATATAGCAAGTGAATATAATAGTGAAATAATAATCGTTGCAGATCATTTTTATTTATGTACGTATAATTTATATTATTTCTTTAATAATAACCAATTTAGTAACTAATTGCTAATGAATAAAATTGATTTATTCTTCAGTACACTCGTATAATCGTATCGTATGCATACGAAGAAATATAAAATCTAACCTGTATTAACTTTTTTCATTATTTCTCACTTCTGTGACATCAAAGTCAATAAAAATATAGTATAAATTCATGGATTATTTCAAAATAAATTATTTCATTGACATTAATATGAAATTCGTTTATATTAAAATAATGTTCTTTTTGATGAAGTAATCAATAACTTAATATAAGTCGTTTTTCAGTTCAATTTATATAAAAGCTTGTTATTTGAGTTTCCATCAAAACTTTGATATTGATAAAAATGGTAAATAATTAATAAATGTGGTTGCTTATTTTAACTTCCTAATTTAATTTTTGAAGTCAAAGTCTGTTTTGATATTTCTCTAAAAAATACAGTATAGTCGCTGATATGGTAAAATGTTTGTTAAAATGTTTTAGTAGCAAATATTATGTTTAGTCTGGATGCACATGTGAATATTGTGCAAAAGTCCTGGAGTTATTAACTCTTTTGAAAAAGCCATATGTGAACATTCTTCAAAATTTCAAACTCTGTAACTTCATGGTTGTTAGTGACTACAGTCGTTTTTGTTTTTGTTGTTAATTACATAAAAATTCAAATTATATCACATCTGGCATTTATTTCAATAATACTTCAAAGATGTTTTACAAGAAGGTCACATTAGACAACTGATATATTTCTTCCAAATTTCTATACAGGTGTAATGTCTGTGACACCTTGAGAGAGCAAAATTACATAACACAGATAAAAGTAATTACAAAATTATTTAAAATTGCAGATCTTGAAAATTGAAAGTGTTGGATAAGATGAATGAAGGGGATGATCAATTGTTAGCACGAGTAATTTACAACTCAGAAAACCACAAAAATGCTGCATTTTCTGAATTTAATTATTTACGACCCAATCAACAACTTTGTGATGTTGTTATTAAGGTTGGTAGTTAGAAGATACTTGCACATCGTATCATATTATCAGCATGTAGTCCTTATTTTAGGTAAATACATATAAATATATATTCGTAATAACCTGCTTTGCAATATTTTTAAACAGCCATAAGTAATCATTTCTTTTAAGTATGATAGTACTTATAGTATCTATTCAATTAATATAAATTAGAGAGGATCAATTGTAAGATGTAAAACATTTTATGCATTTTTTTTAGAGCAATGTTCACTGGAAATTTGGCAGAACCTCATCACACTGAAATTATGATGACAGATGTTCATGAAGATGCTTTGAAATTACTAATTAACTTCTGTTATACATCTAGTATAATTATAGATGAATCAATAGTGGCAATATTATTGGCAACAGCAAATTATATCCAATTTAATGAAATTGAAGATATTTGCTGTGAATTCCTGAAACGTCAACTGAATCTATGGAATTATTCACAAATTTTACGAAATTGCCAATACTTATTCATGTCATGAGTTGTTAAGAGTTGTTATAAAATTTATTGCCAAGAATTTTCAGTAAATTATCGAAGGTGATGAATTTAAATCGATAACTGTGGAACATCTGGTTAATATATTAGATAAAATAAATCTTTACTCACAAGAAAAAGTCTTCGATGCACTAATGAAATGGATAGAAGCTGACGTATCTAACAGAACAAAACATCTTCCTGAACTTCTTAAACATATTTAACTTCATCTTTTAGATAAAAAAACTCTACTCAGTAAGGTTGCTTATAATAAATTCATCAAATCAAACGATAAATGTCGCAAACTAGTGGAAAAAGCCAAAATTCAATTACTTCATTCAGACAAACAACCGTCTACGCAGAGTTTGAAGCCAAGTGTAATGGAGTCATCACGAGAAATTTTATTTGTAGTTGGAGGTTGGTTTGACCACAATGCTATGTCAATAGTGGAGTATTACGATCCTGATATTGCTGATTGGACATTGGTAGCATCAATGGCAAAAAGAAGATGTGGAGTTGGAACATCTGTTTTGAACGGAATATTATACACAGTTGGTGGACACGATGGTCGAGATGCTATGGGTAATAATATATATGTTATTGGTGGGCAAGATACCTATCAACATTTTAATTCAGCAATAAAGTATGATCCAAACATAAATATGTGGTCAAGTATGGCTTCTATGACAACCGCAAGAGTTGGAGTGGCAGTAGGAGTAATTGACAGTTGTATTTACGCAATAGGAGGTTTCAATGGAGAATATGTATTAAACACAGTTGAAAGATATGATCCGCGAGAGAATGTATGGTGTCTTGTTTCGTCCATGTCTACCAAACGAAAACATTTTGGGTGTGCAGCATTTAACGATTGTATCTATGCTGTTGGCGGGTGTGATGATCTGAGTGAGTTACGTACTGTAGAAATATATAACTTACGGGCAAATTCGTGGAGACCGAGCATTGAAATGGCATCAAGGCGAAGTAGGGTAAAAATTCTATATAATTTTTTTATTTTTTATCAAAAAATTAAGATTGTTTCTCAAAAAGAAGCAATAATACGAAAAATATATAGATGAACGTTGTATTCTTCAATAATTTGACATGTGTATAACTTTTTTATACATATTTTAATAAATATGAAATATGTATTTACATATATTGCTTATATCTAAGTTATTTATTACTATATACAGAAAACTATCATACCAAAAATTTTTGTTGTTTAAAAACCAGTAAATGATAACTGATCTGTCATAATACTCAACATTTATCATGCCATTCAGAATAGTAATTATTCTGCAACATTCAGTGATCATGAAGATTTCCTTCATTAACTATTTTTTGTATCAATTGTCAATAAACAATTGTATAATATAGTTCCTTCGATCATTAATCATTTTCATTATAGACTTTGTTCACGTAAAATGAATGTAACAGATCATTACTTTTTACAGTTCAAAAAATGTTAATTAAAGCATAGGTATACCTATACTTTATTATGGACTAATACATAGACTAATATACATGTTATATTATATTTAGATATAAACTAATGTATGACTACCCGAGAAAAAATAAAATAGATCCACACTGATTTATTTTTTTGTACAATTAGATCTACTTTATTGTGTGTATATCTATTTTAATTACTTTAGATCTTCTGTGATCTCTGTAGACGCATTGAATTTTTTATCATCGAGATCAATAGAGATCTCCATAGACATGGACGGTAACTTTCAAAGATATACAGTGGTATCATTAGATATAAGTAGATCAAATTGAATCTAAAAAATGGCAAATAAGTAGATCTATTTATTTTTCCCCTAGTATTCATAGTAGGTAACGTTGGCGTTCGTCTCATTTCACAACGATAATAATAAATTAGAATTGGAAAACTGATAACTTTATAACCATTCACAAATATATTTATCGTTAACAATGTGCTACTACACAATATCAAAAGAATAGCCTTCTTTATCTTTAAATTTTTGGAATTAAATAGATAAAACTATTTTAAAAATTATTTCTTCTGTTTTAGCTTTAGAAATGTCTATAGAGGAATTATAAAAAATATTCCTAATTGGTATTCGTTTAAAATACTTTTTATAGATACGTAGAATGTTCCAAAAAAGCCTCGCATCAATGCAATGCAGTTAGTAAAATTGTGCAAGGTCAACTAACTTGGACTAGAGAACATATGAATCATCTACCCGAAAAGAATGCTGTAGAAATTTTATCATTTAAGAATGAGTTACGGAATGCTGTAATATCTAGTTTCGATGGTATAAGTACGATAGATAAGTACATTGATTTTTATTTTGAAGTTTATAATTTATTTTATTATTTTAAACAAGTAACTATGGAATCCTTCAAATGTTAATTATTAAATTTAACAAAAATTAAAATGTAAAGTACAGTTGTTTTCAAATGAATCGGTATCATAAATAAATATAAAAATATTTCTTATTCATATGATGTTAAAGTATTTTTTTTTTTTTATGTTTGAGACAATTGTTTTTGTCTTTTTTTTAATGTTAGCGGGTCAATAATTTTTCTAAAATTATAAGTTGATTAAATAAAAAAACGTTGGTAATAGAAATATTTTAAGCATTAAAAAAAAAACAATTGTTAGTTAACAAAATAAAACAATTATACAAAACATTAGTATTCGTGTTATTAAGGGTAATTGGATTCGCTTCTTTTCAATGAGAAAAAATTCAGATGAAAGTATTAGTTAAGTATTAGTAGTGTATAGTTGAACTAACCAATGAGGTGCTGTCCCCACTTCACTTAGTTCATGATGGAGACAGAACGTTCAAACGATATTTGAGAGAGTGGGAACGGCGTCTGTTTGTTCAGTTCAACGTGTAATACGGCTACGACAACATCAGTAAGAAGTAAGCTCCCGAGCTAATGATCGTGCTATAAGTCACAAAGCGTGTTTATATAAACTTTTTCAATTATCTGTAATTTATAATATAATTTATTGTAATTAAAAGTTCTAGTACGTCATAGTAAAGAGGTATTGTAATTAAAAAATATTCTTCAATACTACAATCAAACGATTATGGAATTTTATGATCATCTTGGTGATAAATTATTCATTTAGAAGAAAAGTAAAGAACAATATTGCCTGTGCAAAATCCGCATTTTACAACTACAGTAATAAAGGTAAGATGAATATATTAATTGTCTTTCTTTACGTTTAATATGAAATATTGGTTGTTTATAGAAAGAACTTTCTGGTCTTTGACTTTGAGTGTACTATGAAAAAAATATTTATGTAAACAGTCAGAGATCGTTTTGTTGAGCTTACTTGAGTAACAATATACTACATACAACACCGAAATAACATTTATACTTAATTGATCGTGAAAATTTTTTTTAAGAATCGAACAAACAAAAATATTTGTCGATGTAGATTTTAACCTCAATTATATACATTATTCAAGTTGATTTCATTTACGTCTTTTATTTAAGAAATCGTGAAATACAATATTTAACCCTGAATTGATTTACGAGACAAACCAAAATAAGAAGAACGCCTATTTTTCGCCATATAATGAAATTTTAAGTCACTTGACTGGCTTTGTTAGCATATTTACATTATTAATGTATTATTCAATTCAATTACTAAGAAAGCTTAAACAAATTATGCAAAGTTTAAATGATATATTATTTTTCATTTTAAAATTTGGTTAGATTATTTTATAGTTTTTCATTATATGATATGAAAATGAGTGTCAAGAATTAAGAGAAAATATATGTGTATATATGTAATGTTTAACTTTACATAGCAGTATTTAAAAAAAATATCTCAACTTTTTTAATTAGTACGTCGTACTACCACATTCTGTTGAATAAAATTATTGTTTATTCCGAGAGCTCATTGTGCTCTATAGAGTATAAAACAACGAAGTATTGTTTGATAATTGAGATACAAATACGCATGTCGTTTTCTTCTTAAAGTAAAAATTATTTATAATATTTGAGAAAAGTTTTGAATTTAATATATATACAACAGAATTTCCGAAAGGTCCGACAATTTGGGGCTCTCGGACATTTGAGAGCGTAATCAAATTTATATTAGAGTACAGCAAAAATTTGTAATAATAATGCTTTTAAACACTTTTAAGTAAGGATCAAAACAAGTTAAACCGTTAACATTTATTAAAATTAAGCCTTTAAGAGATTCTACTGTAATTGATCTCTAATATGTGTTATTTTTTAATATAGTAAAACATTATCTCCGATATTTTTTCGTATATATGGATTTTTTGATGATTCTAAACAGTTCATTCTTAAAGTAATTTTGCATCATCATACATTTTGTACGATCATTCTCATAGGTGCAAATCTGAACTTTATAAACTATCATCCGTCTAATGAATACTACACATTTATTATTGTTTTCACCATGGTAAATTTTTTTTTTTATCGATAACAATTAATATTAACATCGTAGTTCTATATTTAATTTTAACAATTTTGAGTTAAAGATCTAAAGACAAGCATTAAATTAGATATATGTATATATATGATTAGATTATTTTTTCATTATCGGATTTCACTTTTTTTCGTCAATATAACAAATCGATATAATTTATAGATATAATCATTTTAAATTAGCGAAATTTTTAATTTTTTTATTTGACTAACGGACGATCAGTTTTTAAGAAATCTTTTATTGTATAGAATCACGTTTTTTAGTTTAATTTAGATCATTTTGGTCTGTTTGGAGGTTTTTACCCGCCGCAGGATTTTTCCCTCCTAATTATTTGTTTTATTTATTTTTTTAAGCAGACAGAGTTGGGAAGCGGCAATATTGGAATCTAGGTTGAATGATGATTAATTTGATTTTCATAATTTCGAATTAGAAATTCAATTTTAGATTTTTCATGTTATTTATTTCAGCCTAATCCAATATTCTTACCCAACTAATAGGAATTGCCAGGTGGCAATTTTTAGAAGATCGGGAGAAGTGTAAAATATTTGTATGTCGCCATCTAATGACTATTAGACTAACGACAGTTTGTTAGTTAACAACGATTTCTTGACGATGAGATTGTTTATAGCAACGAGGGGAGAGTTTGTTTATCTCCAGTTTTTGTCTGAGACTTGAGTTGACCGCACGGATTCTTTCTTCCAAACGATTTAATCTCATCTCTAAAGCTAGAAGTCCTCCATGACTACCGTCTTCGACACAATCGGCATATTGAGTTCTCCTTCCAGCTCGAGTTTGTCTCCGACTTGGACTCTTTGGCATGATTTTTTAAATCCTCTTCCAAAAATCACAAACAAAAATATTCACGGCACGCGAAACGAACCACTTTCTGACACCAATGTAAAATAAGACTCAATAACAACTTCGGGAAATTAGTAAATAAATGAAAATGTTTATTGATAATTGACAGCAATTAATTGAAAGAAATTAATATATATGAAAATTTCTAATCAATAAGGTACTTATTCATAATAAATATGCTCTTCTTGAGTCAGAAAGTAGTCGATTACTAGGCATTAGCGCTGCTTAAAGCGGCTGCCTGTGCACCATTAATCTTTATATAAATATATCTCTGGTTAGTAAATATTAGCGCTGTTTAAAACGGCTGCTTAAGCATTATTAATTAGAAATAATCACTTATGTTCACATTATTGTCAACTACTATAAATATAAGATTTTATTGAAGAGGTCCGAGCGCGGTTTGAGCTGCTGCTCACCTTCTTAGTTGAAAGGTTGAATTTGCGTTATTGGGAACGGTTGGGTGAAGCGCGGTGTAAGCTGCTTGCTGGCTTCGACTGCTTCCTCATGAACAAATTCATCAACTTGTTCAACAATGTTATAGTGATTTTAAATATGAAAGGCTGAACTGTATAATGACATGTCAAGGACAACTCTCGCCTGCAGATCATACCTTACCCAGTCATATAGCTAAGAAAAAAAATGTATAATATTTTGATTCTCCATTTGGGAGCCGTCTGCTCATGTCTTTAAATAATCTTAAATTAACTGCCGGTAAGAGTAGTCCAATCCTATAGCTGAAAAAGTTATAATGTTATTTTGTTACATTTTTTTGTTTCGTTTTTTTTTCTTTTTCCCTTACACTTATATCTGATAATTATAATAAAATTTTTTGTTTCTCACCCCCCAATTCCAGTCCCATATCGTTACAGGATGATAAGTTATAAACATGCTTTAATGCATGAAAATGTTAATTAACGAGTCTGATAGCGATATGGTTCACTAAAACCTTTTACTTAAATGAACTTCTAAAATCTTATAATATTATTCCCTTATTATTATCACATATCAGAATACAGTTCAGCCTACACC